TACTTTTGTTTTTTTGGAGTACTTTAGTGACGTTGGAGTATTTTGCTGACGGGGATTTATTTTTAGTGACGGGAGTACTTTTAGCTGACGTTTGAGTACTTTTAGCTGACGTGGAGTACTTTTGGCTGACGCTGGAGTACTTTTAGCTGACGTTGGAGTACTTTTAGCTGACGTTGGAGTACTTTTAGCTGACGTTGGAGTACTTTTAGCTGACGTTGGAGTACTTTTAGCTGACGTTGGAGTATTTCTCTCATGGCATTATGCTGCAAAATATTTTTTTTTATATTTTCGTCTTAATATTGAAGCTCACAGCACTATTACAAATTTCTCTGCAATATATTTCATTGCGTAACGTAACAGGGGGATCGGATATCTCGACGCCTTCCAAGATACTTCCTCTCACTAGCAGTGCGGGCACCAGTGGAGGCATCAGTGGCAGTGGTAGCTGCAGTGGCAGCGGCAGTGGTAGTGGTAGTGATGGAGGAGGTGGCAGAAGTCGTCCAAATATCATACATCCCAACTGCACCAACGTAGTAAGTACCATACCTTAATACTCATTGTGGCTGCTAGATAATGAGCTTATCAATAGTTTCCCATTATGTAAATTATCCAGTATAAGTGGGTTTGTACGATGGTGACAATTAAATTTTGAGCTATGAAAGAAAAGTAACTAAACCTAGTGTATCGTAACCCATTTTACTAAACCAGACCTAAATTAGGGATAATTCTAGGGTGGGTTACTATAGCTTAGGCTGCGTCCCCCCCCCCAAAAAAAATCCAATTTGCACAAAATATAACTAGCCACATTGCAGAACCCATTTAATAATGGAGATTATTATTATTATAATCAAGGGGAAGCGCTAAACCCGTAGGATTATACAGCGCCTGGGGGGGGGATGTGGAAGGCATTCAGGCTTAATTCGAGGAACTGGAGCACAGATCCAATTCCCTAAATCAAGAGCCCCTCACCAACATCAAGGAACCTTCCCTGAGGGGTTAATAATGGAGAATTTACATAAAACTAACAAGGAGCTACATTAAAAATTAACTGAGATAGGGCCTTCAACTCACTATTGTGACCCCTCGAGGGAGGTTCCTTGATGCTGGTGAGGGGCTCTTGATCAAGGGAATTGAATCTGTGCTCTAGTTCCCTGAATTAAGCCTGAGTACTTTCCATCCCCCCCCCATAGGCGCTGTATAATCCCTACGGGTTTAGTGCTCCCCATAATAATAATAATAATAATAATAATAATAATAATAATAAATAATAATAATAATAACTTACTACTGTCAGTCCTCACAGGATATATGTACTCTGAGAGATGTATTTCTCTTAGCGTATATATGCGGAGAGTTTAATCCCTATTTTAGGGACTAAAACATTTCTTGTCTGGTAGTGAAAAAGTTACTTACGTCCTTAATGACCCTAGCGTAGTCGACAGCCTTTAACCCCAATTATCCACCATAACCAGTCTTTAACTGGGGTGCGTTAGTGGTGAAGGGTCCTTGATCAAGAGAAATGGAGCGACCCTCCTCTTCCTTGGATTAAACTTAATTTCCTCCAACTGCCAAGACGTACCATGAAGCTAAAGATTAAGTTTCCAGATAAGCTTTTTTTTATGGGTAGTTTTTCATCTATTTTTTTCAAATCAACGTAAATACGTCTTGAACGTCCCTTACCTGTGCTTTCTATGCAACTCTTATTGCAGCTGCGTAATCAGTCCAACATGAAGGACTTTCCTGTTTGATATCAGTTGTGTTGGGTAAAAGGACACACACGATAACAGTTATGATAGTTAAAAGGGCATATAAATAATAAAAAAGGCACAATACCGTGACTGGAACGATACACAAATAACCCGCACATAAAAGAGAGAAGCTTACGACGACGTTTCAGTCCGACTTGGACCATTGACAAAGTCACACTAACCAGAGGAGGAACGAACAAAACAAACGAAAGTTCAGGTAAGACCCAAAAATGGGGATGTAGTGGGGAAACGGGACATACAAGAACATTGCGGAGGGGAGTGTTCTTGCCCTTTAGAAAAAGCCAGGGTTTAAACCCCACAGCGAGGGCGATCGGGGGCCCGATATTGAAAAGGGAAAAAATTTACGGGCTCTTCTTTGGGGATTTCCGGTGGGGGCAGGGGGAAAGGGAAAGGGAAAAGCAACTTTTTTAAGGGGCTAGAGAGGAGTGTAGAACTGACCCCATTTTTAAACCCCAAAGGGTAAGGGGGAAGTGGATCAAGAATGGTCCCCTTTCATAGAAGGTCCTCGGGAAAATCCAAAAGGTTTTTGTAAATAGGGTTAGGGGCAGACCCAAATGAAAAGGAGTAAAATTTTTGTGTTTTTTTAGGGGGTCTGCGAATGCCCTTCGTAAAGGAGAAAGGGCCAGTAGTCAGGTCGTGCCCACGGGTTTTTTCAATCTGTCTGTCCCCCTGAGCTTTTCCCCGTACAGTTTCACTCAGGGATGTCTAATTTGGCATGGAAAACCTCGCATGTAGGGGGAAGCCCCTCCCTCTGACATCAAGCACCCACGTCCCCTCCTTTTTCCCTGGCCCACCCCTGCAGTTTAAGTAAATTGTTTTTGCTGCATGGAGGGGGAAAAGAGGAAGTAAGTTACAGAGGACGAAAGGATTTTTAAAAAGGGTGTTTTGGTGCGTTGAGAGGCATTTTCAGTTTTGTAGGGGCCTGAAGGGCCTTACTAGCAATTGCATCCCTTGATTAATTTGTGTCCGGTAAGCGTAAAGGTAATAAAAGTTTTAAGGGCCAAAGGGACAGTGACAGATTGTTCATGGGGTTTGAAAAGTGCAGGGGTCAGCGGTTCTGAGCTCACAGGTAATAAAGATCCCCTTTTCTAAAGTTTAAAATATGTAATGCGGGGGTTTTAGCTGCATTTTTTTTGATCCTCCATTTTGGGGTTTCCCAGTTTGGCTAACCTTTCGACCCCATTTTGTTTTTTGGGGTTGTATTGTATCTATTTTGGCATGAGGATAAGTTGTGAATGTCGTCTGCATGGGCAATTGTGTTTGGATTTTTTTTGGTATAAAGGGTTAAAAAGTCGTGGGGTAAAAAAATTGTAGAGGGTGGGGGAAGGAAAAATTTTCCCGGGGGTACCCACATTAGTGTAATTGCAGAGTAACACCCTTTTGGAATTTAAATTTCCCCAAAAAGGGGTACGGCCGCTAGGAAGTTGCAGAGGATTTTTAGGGGGAGTATAAAGGGGCATTTTTAAAAAGTTAGTGAAAGATTTTTACGGGACCCCTTTTGGTGCCAACAGTGTAAAAAAGTTTTTTTCAACCCCTTTTAAACCCAGGCTGCCCTGTTTCTTTGTTCGGGTGTTTTTTGTGGATGAAATTGAAATGATTTTTGTTTGGAAATCTTGTTTGGATCGGGTTGTTCTAAACCAAACTGAATATCAGAAAGTGGGAATTTTTGGTTCCAGGTACGCGGGGGGCGAGGTTAAAGATTTTTTTAAAGGGAGTTTTCCTAAAGTTTCGAGGGGGCCCTGATAGGGCAAAATTGGGTATTTTAAAAAGGAAATCAAGTGGTTTTTTTTTTGGGTTTTGGGAAAGGGGAAGGATACCCAAGAACCTTTTTTTTCGAAAAAGGGGGGGGGGGGGGGGGGAAAGAAGGGCCCCCTTTGGGGCAAGGGGGCTTGGGAGGAGGTTTTGTGGGGCATTAATGAAGTCGGGAAAGGGTTTTTTTGGGATAATAGGGGTTTGGGCCAAAGGCCCCCGGGGGCCTTGGAGGAAGGGGGTCTGGGGAAAAATTTTTAATGTTTGTTTAGTGGGTTTAATTTTTAAAGGACCTGCCTAGTAGGGGCCCAACAGGCCTGCTGCAGTTTTCCCCCTTTTCCCTTAAAGTCTGATTTTTTTAAATGCCCTGTTTGGGGGAAAAGGAAATTTTCGAGTTTTTTGGGGAGGAGGTAAGAGATTTCTAAAAAGGGGAATTTTTGTTTTTTTCTATCTGGTGTTGTATCTTGTGTGGGTGCGGGTGTTCCATTTTTTCTAGTTTTTAATTTTTGTTGAATAACTTTAGGGGAGGTGGGTGGGGGTAGAAGATGTTTTTTTCCCCAGATGTTAAAATTTGAGACACTTATCCCAGCAAAAAGGAATTTTTATTCGGGAAAACCCGTTTCGCCACACGGGTGGCTTCATCAGTCCAAACAAAGAAAAGGGCGTAAGGAGAGGGGGGAAGAAATGAGGAAAATCATTTCCCCCAACCCTGGAGTCAAAATGTGTTCAGCCCCGGGTTGAGGACAGTTTAAACCTCATTCTCCCCTCCCCTTTAACCCCTTTTCCCCCTTTGTTTTGGACAAATAAGCCACTTTTGTGGCGAAACGTTTCCCTAAAAAAGTTTCCCATATCCCGCATAAGTGCCCTAAATTTTTTTCAACTTGTCGGTTTTTCAAACCATTAAACTCCCAATGTGTTTGAAATTTTTGGTAGCACCCCTTGCGGGTCTGAAGTGTGTGTGTTGTTTTTGGGTGATGTTTTTTAATTTGTTGGTGGAGTAGTGCCTCTTTTTTTTTTTTGAAAAAAGTTCCAGAAGGTTTTATTTGTTTTTGATACGCTTGTTTTGTCACTTGTTGTATGATTTTGACCAGTAAATTGTTGTGGTCTTGGTCTAAACGTGTAGAACTTTGGGTTTCAAAGGGTAAGTGAATCAAATCAAACCCTTTTTTAAAAAATCTGAAAGTTTTGTAGGAAGCGGTTTTTGGTAGAAAATTAATTATCCTTCGCCCCTGGCCCCCCGGTTAAAAGGGAAAACATTTGGGTGTTGGGGTTTCTTTTTGGTATTGGGGTTATTGGTTTGCTTGGGTAATGGGTCCTGGATGAATAAAATTTGAGAAAACAAAGTCAGAGATGGGTTTTGTTTTTGTAATCATAGGTGAGGTTTAAAATTGTCATGTTTTTTTTTAAAAAGCATCCCACCCAGCTTTTCTTGTAGGAAAAGGGAAAGGGGTGGGGTTTTGGAAGGGAGGATGGGGTTTTGGAGGAGATGTTAAAGATGACGGGGGATGTGATCAAGCCTGTAAAAAGGGCCCCGGTTTAGGATGTGGGTTTTAAAATAGGACCGGGCCCGGGTTTTTCCCAAAATAAATTCTGGTTTCCCTTTGGCCCGTTGATTGAAGAAGGTTTTTAAAAGTCGGGCCCGAATAAAATTTTAAAGGTTTTTTTAGGGGTTAGTGAATTGAGAAAATTAGGTACCAATTTGGGTTTTTTATTTTGGGGGGTGATAAAGGGGGGTGTGTTTGGATTCTTTTCAGCTAGTAGGTATGTTGGTGTTTTGGGTGAATTTTGAAGCCCCAAGGAAAGGGGGGTGAAATTTGAAAAAAGTTTTTTGGGGCGAGCATGGGTTTGGTAAAAAAAGAAAAAGGGGGGCCAAGGGGGGTTTTAAACCTGACTGAAAGACAGTGTTGGTGAATTAAAAGGGTTATGGGAGAGTTTGGGTTTTTTAATTTTTTGGATTTGAAAAGGGATGGCAACCCCATCGGGGGGAATCAAAAAGGGCCCTTTTAAGTGCAGTA